GAGAAACGGTGGGAATATTTCTATGTCAGCCAACGTTGCGTCCGGCTGAGAACCAATTCCTCATGGTACCGTTGGAGAAAGTGAGGAAGATGAAGCCTCAGGCCCAGAGACTTCTTGGATATGGGTTGTGTGAACCAGGTGTGGGCTTCATGAAATACCAGGATCCGATGAGAGTGTTGTTTGGGGTTGAGGATGAAGAGACCGTCGACTTTTGAACTTCTTATTGCATGTAGTGGCCTCTGTTTCATATGTAGGATAGGAGGAGAATAGGAGTGACGGATAAAACTAGTGATCCTCAAACAACGAGGATCCTCTTTCCGGACGCTTCTCTTGCCCGGGCAAGCGGTCGCCAATCGGCATCTGAACCAGCCCAGAATTCTTCTAGAAAGTTGACCGCATCTCTGTAATGATTGAATCGAGTAGCCTGATGAATCGCGGTGAACAAAGATAGTATCGTGTTCTGTCGTTCTTTGTTTCCATGACATGCTGTGCCAGCAATGAAAGTTGGCCAAGCAAGATTCTGTACGAATGCCGTTTGATCCTCAAATCCTGTGAGCTGATCAAAGAGATTGTTGCATGCTGTTGTTCGCTCGGAGCTGTCTTCATGTACACATTCCAGACATTGAAACGAGTATACGAGTCCTGCGTTGTGATAAACCTCTACCAGACGAACGAAGTCGCGGGTCATCCTTGACCCATTGAGGCCGAGCCGGCCGGCTGCCATCAAGGTGGACCCTCGAGCTTGCTCGAACTCCGATCGGATCATATTCGTGGTCCGTGAATGCGGCGGGAATTCACTGGAGGAACCGGCCTCGACAACCTCAACCGAGGCGAGTGTAACTCGGTGTAGGAATGTGAGATACCTCGAGAAGAGCAAAGAGTCTGATCCCGGTACGGGCTTGATTGCGTTGTTGATCAAAGATCGATCAAATGAAGTGCTTGCCGTTGTCACATCGTCGATGGCGAGCTGATTACGTAGAAAGGAGAAGAGTTGTCGTTCTTCAATAGCGCTTGAGCTGTTGAATAGGTTGACGATGGTGCGGGCAGCTCTTCTGTGCTCGTCGGCTACCTCGGGACAGCATCGGTCGTAATTGGTCATGATAAGGATGGCCGCAAGCATCCACTCAGCATCAACAGCATCGGAATGATCGTCTAGCTCCAACCCTTTCATGAGCTTATCCGTCATTTGCTGGGCCCGAAGTTTGATCAGTTGCAGGCACTTATCCCGGGCAACCTCCGCCATCGCTGCGATGGCTTTGTTGGAGCAGCTCATTGAACCGTGCTGAGCCACGAATGCCAGGATAGCAAAGCCGATGGCAGGCTGGTGTTCGGCGAGAGGGATGACTTGTTTCCGGTAGTCGTTCTCTTCAGAGTCCAACCAAACCATGAAGCCGGCTAGGTTTCGACGGTAATACTCCATGAACCTCGCGCCCGTAGCGAAAGATTCCGTACTCGGCGAAGCGACCAATTCGAATATTGTCAACCCCGATGTAGGTACTAAAGCTTGCATACTCGGGATATTAGTTACCAGTTCAGCATCCTGTGGAGGATTATCTGAGGCTGTCGGCATTTGTGGAGACCCCGGAGGGGAAGCCCGGGTTGGAACCGGTCGGCCTCGAAGATGGCCCCTCGCTGCAACGCCGTTGATCCATCGAAGCGGGCGAGTGTAGCCTGGGCATTCTAAGCCTTTCTTGTAGCATTTATGGCAAGTTGGCTTCTGAAGATCGCAACGAATCCGACGTCGCTCACATGTCACACAGCCTGAAGGGCGATCAGTCTCTGATGCTTGACGGTCGTTAGGAAGTGATGATGACGCGCGCACCTTTGTCAAATTTCAGCTGTGCGCCTGGGTCCTTTCGGACGTCCTGGTCCTGCCTTCCTCGTCCTGACATCCCGATACATGCATGCTGACCGTGCTGGTTGATGATATGGTGGGTAGCCCGGTCTCCGGGATCTGTGATGTATGAGAAACTTTCTTGGTGCGGGGCCGTGGCCCAGTGTCCCTATCAAGCTTTCCGCACAATCGTCCGGTCTCCACTCGGCTTCCGGCCCGGCTGACTCGTTACGGCGGTGGCTGGAGATTCTCTAAGCACGACTTATCACTATCAAGACCAGTTTGGACTCTTCTGACTGCGTGAAGGTTCGAAAATAAGCCCGTCTCATTCTTTGCTACCATAACTTCGGACCTTCGGACTTATCGTCTACCTCTTCCATTGGCGCATTTGGCCTGCGCTTCCGCGGGGTCAGTATTACTAGCCCGGGCGGCTTGGGTCGGTTCTGCAACTGCGCGAATCATTTTAGCTCCATTTCATTGTTGCCTAATCTCACCTGCCTCACATTTCTCATCAACTTCAGAACGTTCATCTTTTCGCCAGGCTTCACACGCGGGGTTTTGCGGCACAAGCACTCCACCAAGCAAAGGCACAGCTTGACGCATCATCCTCACCTTGAGGTGATATTTCTGCACGATGGAGCAAGAATGCATCAAGAAAGTCACTATCTCGCCGCACTGGCTTTCTAATGAGAGCTCCTTTTGGTATCGCCGGTATCTGTCTTCGGGGAAATTCGAGTTCGTCCTCGTGAATTGCATTAACAAAACACGCCGACCAGCTTTTAACCATGAGAAACTTGCAGCTGTTTTGAAGCAGAAAGTATCTCCCCGAGGTCAAGACATAGACCATAGCTCATTACCATTCACTTGGATTGATGTCAAACCTGACGGATCATCGATCCATTTCTTCTTCGAGGGGAAGAGATGGGCCTTTGGCAGCGATGGCAAACTTGAAGAACTGGAGGGCACCTTGGATCAACCCCGGACCCAATTCCTTGCCAAGGAGCGTCCTTCAAGGTCTACGAAACAGATTGTGACCGTCAACTTTGTCAACCACACAGAAGGGCCTTTGTCATCGTACTGGATCGACTTCAACGGCAAGCCCAAACTCTATCACAGAATTGGACAAGGGCAGACTCATGAGCAGCAGACATTCTCGGGTCATGTTTGGGAATTGGTCAATGATGAGACGAAAGAATTGAAGGCGATCTACGTTGCGCCTGAGGAACCTGAAGATGTTGTCGTCATCGAAGAGAGCACTATGGAAGAGATGAAGTTCAAGAACGATGAGCCAAAAGACACGAATGAGGACGATGGAACGAAAACAAGTGGATCGGCAACTCTAGATGAGAAAGAAGAACCTCAAAAAAAAAGTCAAGTCTTTGTTCGAGACCACAATGTGTGGTTTCGCGATGCTTCCGGGAAGGAGTCGCAGATGTCCTCCAATGGCACCGAGGAAAACCCGTTCGACAAGGCAAGAATCATTCAATCGCCCACTGGGGACTTTGCTGTCGTCTGGCAGTATACCCCGGAAGAAGAACATGTGCTCCGTCTTCGGGAGTCAACTCCATCAGATCAACTTGAGCCGAAGGTGCGGACTGTCCAGTACTTGAAGCCGGGCGATCGCGTCAGAGTCGACCGACCTCGATTGTTCAGTTTGAAGTCCAAGGAAGAAATCAAAACCAGCGATGATCTATTCCAAAATCCATATAGCATCGAGAATATTGGCTGGAACGATGACGGCACAGAGTACCGCTTCATTTTCAACGAACGCGGCCACCAGAATATTCGCCTGTTAGGCATACGCACTACGGGAGAGGTCAGACGCTTGATTGAGGAGGAGAGCGATACCTTCATCGACTACTCGAGCAAGTCCTACCATCGATTAATTGCGGGGACGGATGAGATGCTCTGGATGAGTGAGCGCGACGGCTACAATCATTTGTACCTGTTCGACTTGAAAGATGGAAAGCAGAAGAACCAAGTCACGAAGGGGAACTGGAACGTTCGCTCTGTCGTTCAAATTGATGAAACGAGCCGTCAAGTGTGGTTAAAAGGATATGGGATGATCGCGAATCAAGATCCGTACCATGCTCACTTAGCTTGCATTCGTCTTGACGGAACTGGCTTTCAGGTGCTCACTGAAGGTGACGGCACTCATGAGTGGATGTTCTCTCCGAACAACAAATTCTTCGTCGACACCTGGTCGCGCGTGGACTGCACCCCGCAATCTGTCCTCAGAACTTTGCAAACTGGAGAAGAGCTCCTTTCCCTTGAGGGGAAAGTCGAGGACACTCAAAAGCTACTTGCGGATGGTTGGGCAGTCCCAGAAAGATTCACGGCTCCAGGACGGGATGGTGAGACCGCGATATATGGAATCATCATCCGTCCTTCTAATTTCGACGCGGCAAAGAAGTACCCAATCCTTGAAGATATCTACGCCGGACCTCATGACTTTCATACGCCCAAGGCTTTCTCGGTTCTAGCCAAGCAACGGCAATGGGCAGACCAAGGGTATGTGGTGGTTCTCCTAGATGGTATGGGAACGAATTGGCGATCGAAGAAGTTCCATGACGTTTGTTACAAGAATCTCAAAGATGCCGGATTCGCTGATCGTATCGAATGGATCAAGGCTGCAGCGGAGACGCGCCCGTGGATGAACACTTCGAAGGTTGCCATCATAGGAGGTTCAGCAGGAGGGCAAAGCGCCGTCGCCGCGCTCATTCATCACAGCGACTTTTACAAAGTTGCAATCGCTGATTCTGGATGTCACGATAACCGTATGGACAAGATATGGTGGAACGAGCAGTGGATGGGTTTTCCTGTTGATACGTCTTACGAAGACTCGTCAAATGTGGTTCATGCGGAGAAGCTGCAGGGTGCTTTGATGCTGATCGTGGGCGAGCTCGATGATAATGTTGATCCCGCTTCGACCTTCCAGCTGATTAAAGCTCTGAATGAGGCGGACAAAGACTACGAGTTTGTGTTCATCCCTGGCGGTGAACATTGTGGTGGGCGAGCGAAATTTGCCCTGAGGCGACAGGAACGCTTCCTCCGGCAACATCTTCTTGGGTAAACTCAATCAGAAATACCTGCATCTCAAGTGCTAATGAGAATTTATTTTGTCTACGTGGCTATAGTCTAGTCAATCTGTATTCTTTCAACTTCCTCAAGTCGTGTACTTAAAGCCCTTGTACTCTTTATCAGTCAAATCTAGCCAATCCTGCGAGGCAACGACTTGTTCATTTGCCTCCGCATCTCTGCGACGATTACTCATGGCACAAAGAGCACCATATGCAAGGACACAAATCATGGCCACCACGTAGCACACAATCATTGCAATAGTGCCACCGGTATAGGCTGGTGCTTGCTCTTGGCGAAAGGTCTGAGGTCCCACAATGTTGCCAGCTGCCCAAGCCACATAAAACCAAGCATACAGTGTGACTTTCTTTGTATGTCCGGCGATGTTTGCCTGGTACACAGAGACCAATGTGACGTAGGGCGCCCAATATGTGTACAGGATGCTGAAGGAGATTAGCATCATGTACCAAGTATCCTTGAGGGCACTGAACTTACTAAAGACCAATGAGCTGACCGGCGAGGTTGTCGCGAGGGAGGTTATAGCATAACAGGGCTCCAAAGAGAGGAAGTAGGATTGAGCCTGCTACGATCGGAGTGCGATATTTGCGGGTTGTTGACGCGATATAAGACAGGACTATACCGGAAATTGTACTCATCGCACCCGGAGGCATAGCTAGTAGGGAGGTCTGAAGAGGGTTGAAGCCCAGTCCAGAGATGATAAGAGTGTTGAACGTAGTTAACCCGCCGTTGGGAACTTGAAGCGCAATAATGGCGAACCAAATCAGCCAAGTTTTGACATCCGCAAAAGCCTCTTTAACCTGTGCAGGTTTGAAAACCTTGTTTTCGATGCCTGTGTTGTCAGACGCCTTTCGCTGGATGATGATGTACCTCTCTCGCGGGCTCAGTCTCTTCGCCTCAAGCGGGTTGCTGGGGAGAAAGAAGAAAATGACGGCAGACCACGCAATGGTAACGCAGCCGACGAGAAGAAAGACTATCTTCCACTTCGCATAGGATCCGTTGTAGTAGCCGATCACCCATGCAACAAAGCCGTTGATGATGGGAGCCACAACGTTGAGAATGATGCTATTCCGACGGGGCTGCTCTTCTGGACGATACCACATGGATGTGATCAGAGTGACAGCAGGGATCAGCAAAGCCTCAAACCCGCCTAAAAAAAAAACGGCACGCAAAGAGGGCACCGAAGCTGTGGCATGCGGCCATGGAACAGGCAAGAACGCCCCAGCATAGAACGGCGAACGAGAAGTAGACGACAGCCGATAGCCTAGCAGGACATAGCATGTCAGTATATACGCTCTTAGCTTTGTGTATGACCTAGTAGTACCTCTGAATAAAGTATGCGGACGGGCCCATGAAGAGAAGGCCCCCAAAGAATGGTGCCGAGCCGACCCATGAGTACTGCTCGCCTGTCAGATTGAGATCTTGGCGGATACCATAGATGGCGGCGGCCGAGATTGCGGTCTTGTCAAGGCCAGAAAGCGTTGCGCAGACAAAAAGCTTTCCTCGGTCAGTAGGGTGAAGCTAAGTGATAACAGATATGGGCAACTTACGATCGGAACAATCATCCAGTCAACCTTCCGAATCAAGCGCTTCTCTTCTTCAGGAGTCCAGCTTCTGTCGAACTCTTCGCCATAGTCGGCAAGAATCTGGGCAGCGATGTCGACATCTTTGCCCTGGCCATTCTCCAGAGCCTTTACCGCTGGCTTGGCTGCGGGAGTCTGATCATTAAGACTAGAAGGGACCTCATTTTCAGAGGTGCTTTCATCTTTGGGATTGCCCATAACTGGCTTATTCGTTGAACGTCAGGTGATAGAAATCCAGAACGTTTTGATAGGATATTCCAGGCGAGATTCCCAGAGCGGAACTGTTGCAAACTTTCCACCCTAACAGAGAGGTTGTGGTTGTGTTTTATGCGCTGTAGATCATTCACTGAATCTCAAAGGTTCAACAGTACAGTACACCGAGTGCGGTATCAGACCTTACTATCAAGCCACAACTGGTCGAACCCAGCGCCGGCCTGATAACATGAATGGCGAATGATAGTTATGATACTGCCTCGCCTTTGTGGGGTCTCACACGGGCGCATAAGCCAGAAAAGCACCAGAAATCGGCAAGTCAACCGAATTAATCGAGTCTTGGCTTCTGATCAGAGTCTCTGCTACTCTGGGGAATGAGGTTGGCCGCGATAAGCCAGAGCTGCCTATCTTATCGTTGGCCGCGGTGATCGCGCGGCCAACTCCATCTCGGCCAACACCCGCCGCACGCTATGTAAAGATCACGCGCAAGGTTCTTGGTGGAACCGTGGAGAAATGATGGGGCATTGTTCCCTAGAGCTGTTGAGCGTCAGACCATATGTAGTCAAATTCAGGCTAGAATAAAAAGACGAATTCAGCGGCCCGAAGCCTGAGCTATGCATCCGAAAAATCAACTGTCATCGGAGTGATATCAACTATCTCTCACCTTCATCATGATTGCCAAAGAAGAGCCTACTGTGGAGGTGCAAGTCAACAGGAAGGGTGGTCCGCTCTATCCTGACTATCTTCGTAAGATATTTGCATCTCGAAGGTTATCGACAGAATACGCTAACATTCTCTGTCAGCGCACTATGACCCTCTCGAGCAGGTTGAGCCTGTCGGGGCTTTTGAGCATGATGACCCCGGTCACCGCGCCGACCCGAAGATGCCCAACCTGATCAGCGAAGGTGTCGAGTCCATCGAACTATCTCCCCATTGCGGCACCGAGCTGCGAAATGTCCAAATTGTGCGTGTAGTTGTCTTCAACCTCTTAGACATTGACTTACCAGAATTTAGTCTGAGCTGTCCAACGCTGGCTTAGATGAGCTCGCTCTCCTGTGCGCCCAAAGGGGATGCCTTGTCTTTCGAGACCAAGACTTCACCAACTTGGGCTTTGAGAGGCAGAAAGAGATCGCATCATACTTTGGTCCACTCCACAAGCATGGGTGGATGCCGCACCCCAAGAACGGACCTGAGGAGTTTGTCATTGTCTACGACAGCAAGGAGGACCTGCGTATTCGCAAGTCGTGGTCTCGCAAGAGTCCTGTCCAGTTCCACGTCGACCAGTCTCCCGAAAGTCAGCCTCCAGGAGCCACCTTCTTCTGCATGCTCGAATCTCCCCCAGGTGCCGGTGGCGACACCATCATTTCCAGCGTAAGACCCAATAACCAATGACTCTTGAAACCAAGACGTTGACATTTCGCGACAGACCGTTCAAGCTTTCAACCGACTCTCTCCATCTTTTCGCAAGCGTCTTGAAGGTCTGCAGGCTATCCATACAACTGCGAAGCCCATTGAACGCGAGATCCGCGACAATGGTGATGCTGCTGTACTCCGTCGGCCCATCACCAAGTCAGTCCACCCGGTTGTGACCGTTCACCCCGTGACCGGACAGAAAAACCTGTTTGTCAACTCGTCTTACACTCAGCGCATCGTTGGCTGGGATGATGAGGAGTCGGACTACCTTCTGAAATTTCTGTTTGACCACATCAACCGTGGTCATGACTTCTGCTGTCGCGTCCGGTATGAGCCAGGCACTGTTGTCATCTGGGATCAGCGCGTCACCCAACACTCTCAGACACTGGATTACCAAGCCGGGGCCCGCCGACATGCTTTCCGACTTACACCTCTTGCCAATGTACCGATCCCCAGTAAGATTGAGGAAGATGATGGAGAGTGTCAAAAGGACGAGGGAAGAATGCTGCTCAATCTGTGTTAAACATGCCGCAAAGACTCAAAGAGATGGAAAGTCTTTCGCATGTACACGTATTTCAGTTATTCTTGTCAGCTTTTGAAATTTCACAGCAACAGACTTTACTTAAGCATCAATTTCAGCGTCAATCATGCTTCCTCGCTACTATTCATTAGATAAACTTGCTAAGACAGAGTATTCGCCTCAGAAGCCAGTAATCTTCCAAGCATTGTCTCAACCCTCAAGAGCCCCAAATTAGCCAGACCCTTTGCGCCGGCTGCGCCTGTTGCAGATGCCCGAGTCGCGCTTCTCCACCTCGTAATCCATGCTCGAAGTTCTCTGTCCTCATCATCAAACCCAAGCTCTCCATCATCGCCAACGCAGAAACGAACCGCGTTAGATGCCGATGTGATGTGCAATAAGTGCACCATGAATGACCCGCCGATGGCAAAGTTTTGCCGACTCCAGCTGTGCCAGAACCCATTCCACTGAGATCCGGTCATGTTTTCCAGCATCTCTACAAACTCTTTGACACAAAGAATAGAGCCTTTGATGACTGCCTTTGCGGCATTAAACAGTCCCTCGGCCTCATTGGGAGATTGCAGCGCAATAGCAGGCCAACGATCAAGAGGCCTAAGTAGAGCGCGGAACAGTGTCATATGGGTAATGATATAGCACAAATAAACTGCACCGATACCGTACATCTCATCTTCGCCGTCTTGAGTTGGTGTTCCGGCATCATGAGCTGCCGGTAGCTGAGATTTTCCTATGAGTGTTCGATATCCTGAGGAAAGACTATCACGCCATTCCTTCAACCTTGCACGAGAAGAACGAGCCAGGTCTAAAGAAAGTGGCAGATCATGCGCTGTTCTCCCGATACCGCGAGTTGTATAATACGTCCGTTGGATATCTGACATGATGGACGTCATCTGCACTAGTTCGCAAAGGTGTGTTTTGGTGTGTGCTGATGAAGACATGGTGTCGTCCACATCTTCCGGCCTAAGGTCTGGGATGTCAAAATCGTCTTGGTGGATATGGCTAGGCATTCCTCTTGTCAGTGAAACCCACTTCTCCATCGTCCACGTAGCCCACCACAATCGCTTTCGAAGCCTTCGTTCCCAAGGTGGCACAGACTCCCAACAAGAAGGGTCTTGATGTAGTCCAATGGTTTGTGCTACTGCGACTGCACTCGAGATAAGTGACCAAGAGAAAGCGGTGTCCGAGAGATAGGGATTGGTGGGGAGTCTCTGCTGAAATAAGAGGCAGGCCTGCAATGTTGCTAGAGAAGGGGCATGAAACTGCTGAGAGATATCCAGCCAACACAGACGGTACAACCGTTGACTTGAAGGTGGATGCAGAAGTAGGCCGTAGAGGCTTTCATCATGCATGATGAATGGCAGTGATGATGCGCATAAAGCCGCTAGCAGTCCCAAAGACATGTTGCTGAGCTGCTCAGGACCTGATGGAAGTTGCTGAATGGCAACGATGGGAAAGCATGGATCCACGAAGCGGGCATAGAGCTGTATCAGGCGCCATGCTGTCTGGGGATCAACAATGCTCCAAAGTTCTGCCCAAGCACCATCAATGACGGAACTTTCGACCTTGGGCTCGGCATTCGCTAAGAGTTCCTGGTCTGTGATGCCAAATATGACAGGACTATTCTGTAAGGCATCCTGTTTCAAGCGTCTATATTGCAGACCGCTCAATCTGGGCCGAGCAACATCGTGGTCATCATATTGCTCGCGGTTGAGGAGGTGAATATCGGCTGCTCCGGTGGGGCCTATGAAGAAGCTGAAAGCCCCGGGTATTGCTTCAAGGGATCGGTGTAAAGGTCGGTTCTCGGTCAATGTAACGGGGTGATCTGATGTCCCTTTTTGTGATTCCCGTGCCTGAGAGAGGCCATGATTTGACTGCGGGGAGGCTTGAGAAGAGTCATTATCGCGTGAGGAGGTCTGAGAAGGCGTCTCGGTTCCAGCTGAGGCCACACGATTACCCGCAAGAAATAGGGGATCGTGAAGTTGTTCAATATCGCCGCCCAGGAGATCATTCTCTGTCAGGTTGAAGAAGTCCGGGATGGGAAAGTCCTGGTGGGCATGTTCCCAGAAGCTGTCCATCAGTTTAGTCAATTAGTTTGTGAGTCCAACTTTGAAGCTTACTTTGAAGGCGATACCGCCGCCTCAACAGGCGAAGACGCTCTCTTCCTTTTCCTTTCTCCCGGGCCTTGAACAAACGTACACGATAAGCTACGAGTGGAGCACCGATGACATGGTGGGCCTTTCGGCATGTCGCAGACAACCTTTCTCTTCCGGCAGCAGTCACATGGTCGTGACTTTCGTGACTTGTAGAAGCGGCCAACTGGCGGCGGACGCGCAGGGGTTGATGGTTGGGGTTGTTCCATCCTTTCGGGTCAAGCTAGATGCCGAAGATCAGAGGAGCGGCCAACACTTCGAACGAAAGAGCCCGGAAACCGAGCATTGAAGGCCGAACGGGCATTCCGGATAGGAATTCAAGCAGCAGTCATAGTTTGGTCTCTGAGGAACGATAACAATGATAAAGTCCGTGGGAATTCGATAGGAAGGATTCCATCTTGATAAGCTTATCTACGTAGGCTCGGCCAGTCACGGCCGCTCCTTTTTCTTAGCGACAAAACAACGCCTAAATGACTTGCCCCTCATTCGCCAGAAGCACCCCAAGAATTGATGCGTCAAGCCCCCTGCCGGGATCATGAAGCCTGGTGTTCCACTCCTGTTAGTGCAAATGACGGAGAAAGATAGGCGCTTGGGCTTCTGCTACAGCGTCGCCTCCAATTGCAGCAGCTTCTGCAAGTAGGGGTCTGCAAACATGCTGTCGGCAAGGTCATCGGACATTGAGGGCAATGGACGCCGTGACACAGGACTGTAGCCAAATTGCCTGTTCAGTAGTTTCTTCATTCCATGTATCTGAGAAACTGTCAGTATCTTGCTGAGTTTGAGGTGCTGCTTGAGGCCGCCAGTGACTCGGACTCACCCCTATCTTGAGCTGCACACGGTCGGCCAGCGAGATCAGCTGCTGCAACTCCAGTGCTTCCTTCGCCGTATCGTGCGATTGGCAAAGATCCCACAGCTTAACGCATGCTTTCTGTGAAATGTGAGAGATGTTTCGTTGTTAAAATATCTCGTCATTCGGTCGACTCACAGGAGCAAAATTGGGCAATCCGCTGATAGCGCCCCCAGCGCCCACCGCTACTGAGGGCAGAAGGAAGTCGATGAAGCCGTCTATGGCAGTGAACTCCAGGTCTTTCGTTCGCCTGGGGTATTTTGCTTTGAAATCCGGGTTATTCGCCTCTGCCAAAATGCGCGTGAGTTTCCCCACGTTTGCACAGGTAAGCTTGATGCCGCATATGTTTGGTGACCCTTTGATGATGTCTACAACGAGGTCGCTATCCATGTCGACCCCGCCCGAGACAGCTGGAAAGTTGTAAATAATGCTGTGAGCGAAAACATGTCAGCGCTTTTCTATCCCAAAGCAAATCAGCAGTGTCTCACATTGGTAATTCCGATGCTTCTGCGATGTCAATGAAGAAGCTCTTGATAGAGTCCCGATTGGCGATTAAAGCTCCGGCATAGTATCCTGGCGGGATCACCATGCCATAGTCGGCGCCCGCTTCAGCGGCATCGCGAGCTAGCTTAATCGATTCCCGGGTACTAGCGCCCCCAACGCCGGCAACGATGGGAACATCAGAGCAACCGATGCGATCAAGGGTTTCTCTTGCAGTCCTGATCAATTCGATTCTCTCTTCACGATCCTTGAGAAATAGTCAGGTCAGTTCAGAGACAAGTTTCAGTTGAACGCTCTCGGGGACCAACCAGATGCACCGCCTCGCCTGCACTGCCCGAGATGACTGGTATTGTGCCCGCCTGTGCTATGACTGCTTTCTGTCAGCTATTTGGGCTAGCAACTGCATTAGTCAAGATACATTTGAGGTGGTTCACAAAGCTTTCTAGATCTGTCTACGCGTGAGTTCCACTACAACATGTCCGCTCTGGGGGAAGCGAACCTAGATCCTCGTTCTGCTTGAAAAAGCAAGGGAGTGGCGTGTAGATACCCCTCGGAAGCGACCTCATCTTTGCGAAAATTGGACAAAATAAGTGAAGCTGTGTACCAATATGTCTTGGCTTCAGTAAAGCAATCCTAATATCTAGGTACAAATTATGAGAAGAGTGCCGTTTCTCGGGAACATGAGCCGGCGTCGGCCGGCGCGGCAGACCGGCCCCACATAAGCCAAAAGTGCGGCCAACGATAAGATATCATCCAGTAGCCCTTCGTATCAAACGCACCGCAGGCAGTGGTGCTACAGGTAGTAGTGCTACTCGTCGCATATCAACGAAGAACACCGCTTTGTTCCTAGTCTATCATTGACGTACTCTAGAATGTAGTTGAAATAAAACGAATCTAACAATGAACTATTCTATTAAGGGATCCATGACGAGATGAAAGCTAATGCACAAGTAGAATGCCAATTCTAGAAGAAACTTTAGTGACAGGCTGAATGGTTCGCCAATAAAATCATCATGGAAGAGAAGAGAGATGTCAAGTCAATCTCTAGTCCTCGAAGTTGATCGCCTAACACCGGCGCACCCGGATCAGTACCTCTTTCGTTGGGTCTGGGAGGACGTTTGTCGCAAACTCAATGTTCTTGAATCGTGGTTCGCCCTCCGGGTTCTTGATCTCGTAGTTGAGGAGGAATTCCGCAAACATCAGCTTGATCTCAACGTCGGACAAGAACCGTCCAGGGCATGCGTGTCTTCCAAAACCCCAGCCCAGCTCAGTGCGAGTGACACTGACGAAAGAGTGCTTGTGTTCCGAACCTTCCTCCTGACGTTCGCGATATGAACGCATTCCATCGAACTTCTCGGGGTTAGGATAGATCGCAGGGTCGTAGTTGATGGCGCTGGTCGGGAGCTCCATCTTTGTCCCAGCAGGAATGTAGGTGCCGTCTTTCAGAGTCAAGGGCTTCGTTGCCATTCTTTGAAATGTGGCTGAACTCGGTCAGTATGTTTGAACATAATGACTGGATGTAAGCGAAATTGGAGCCAGAAGACTTACTCATGTCTGGTGCGCTCATGCGAAGACTCTCCTTCATCCAGCTGTCAAGCTTCTTCATCTCGGCCAGGGATTGTTTTGTGAAAACACCGCCTGACTTCTCAAGTACCTCCACCACTTCCATTCGAAGCTCCTCTGCCCGGTCTGGCTGAACAGCCAGGTCGTACAGCACCTGAGTGATGGTCGATGACGTGGTGTGAATACTGGCAACAGCTAGTGTCATCTGAAGAATGAGTTGAAGCTCGAGATCATCGGCTTTGGAGGCGTGTGCCCCGCTAGTAAGGTGATCTAGCATCGTGGGTGGGTTCTCCAAAGGCGCACCTCCTAGCGCCTTCTTCCTGGCCAGGGATTTGGCAATGATCTCGCGACCTCCTGCCAGCTGCTGCTCCTTCTCCAGACGCTGAGGCAGGAAGTAGGCGACAACGGGTCGGAGAACAGGCGGCCAGGACTTCAAGGCTGATCCGTATTCTATGGCGGTATGGACGAATGATGTCGAGAGCTTGAGCCAAGTCGGATTACGAGCAGCTTCTTCGCTGTGCATAATTCTCGCTGACATGATTGCTACCATCTCAAGCAGGGCTTCGCTGAGGTTTACGGGAGTCCATTCTACTTGTCATGTGAGTCAGTTTCCTACCTAGTAAGGTAAGGCGGTTTAATAAGGCATACCTGCGTGTAGACCAACAAGTTTCGGAAGGTGTTCTTGAATCAAGCCATGGAAGACAGGAACGTAGGCTCCTGTAGATTTGGTCAGCTCAGTCTCAACATGAAAGTCACGAAGAATATTTACCAAGGGTAGGGTTCATTTTGGTCAGGATCTGGTGGGCACCCCAAGCCTCGACTCCTCCGACACTAGTGTAAGGCAAGAGCGCGTCCTGAGAAGCCAGTAAGTCTATGTCACCTGCTTTGAGACAAGGGGTTACTCACATTGTCAATTGAAGCCTTGAAGCTCAGTGCTGGATGGCTTTTCAATTCATCAAGATACTGAAGCGGAAGCACGATTTTGGTTCCTATTAAAGTCAACTCAGAGTTGTCGGACAATTGTTCACACTGGAAATCCTACCATCCATGGTTTCCAACCCGTAGGGCTTGTTTTTGAACTGATTGATTGTCAGCATCTGAGTCTGTCACTAACCTTTCGTCTAGGCCCGTCTCATCTTACCCGCTCGTAAAACTTGTCAAGGAGCTGTTTTGATAAAGGAGCGTATGCGCGCCTTCTTGCAATCGGGTCAGACATTTCCTCTGCCAAAGGTATCGGAACTTTCAATCTCCTCGTAGTGAGCTGCGTCAGAATTCCAAGAAGACATGATGCGACGATGAGCCAAGTGATTGTCGAAATAAGATGGTCCCAAGTGAGGAGTGACGTGTCGAAGTGAATCGTTGTAGGAAGTAGAGATTCCATGGCGCTGCTGAAATACAGGTTGAAAGATGAGCAATCCGAACTGTTCGCACTATAGGCGCAGGAAATTTAAAGGTTGGTCGATAAATGTCAAAAGAAGTATAGGGTTCGTCTGGCCTTAGGTTGCCTGAGCTTTGGTGACTTTTCTGATGAACTACAAATCCTAAAAAAACAATGTTCACCAAGGTGTGATTGCATATATAACTTTCCAAGACGCATGAACACATTGCCAAAAATCAACAGTTTGGACGACTATTCGGAGAACTGGATCTTGGAGCGGACGATGACGACCAGCTCGGCCGGACTCTGGGCAAGTACCGAGTCCTCCAGGCCAAGCCACCTGCCATATCATGCACGGGTGGCCATAGCCACTACCAGACAAGATCATTGGCGACTAGGTAGACTGAGTAGTCGGTGTCTCAGCTTGTTGTGTTTCTGGACTTAGGGGAGCCGGTGGGAGGATGTAGGTCTTGGGTCAACTAGTGGGCCCTGCTCCGAGCTGTGGACATAAACATGGCTAAGCTCTTCATCCTTCAAATGATCCGCTGAGTGAACATGATCGGAATTGAGATACCACCGCTGCTATTCGCTGGTCAATGCCCTACAGGCCACTAACAGCTCTCGCCGCGCACTCGCTGTTTCTGGCTCGCGACGGGTATGCGCAAGTTCCTAGTGACCTGTACGCTTACTGTTCAGGGGAGGCACGAGCAGAATGTGATCCATCATACTGCGATTGGAACAGTGGTATTTGTGGATCTAGCAGTACTAAAGTGCCGCATACATTGTACGCCCTGTTGCCTATTCGTTGAATATCCAGTTTGGGGGCGAAGCGCAATGGAGACAATACGTCACCAATATCACCCCACGGCCTGCCGCCCAGCTTCTCGGCATTTCCCTTAATTCCGCAACTTGGTCTCCAAGTTCGAATTCTAGCATCATCACCGAACCTTTAGGCAAAATGGCTCCTCGTGTTTCAGAATCAACCAAGGCGGACCGAGACAACATCTACGTCCGCTCAGCGTTCAATTACGTTGATGCGATCAACAAGGCAGTTACAGAGCTGACTCAGACTTCACTGGAGCGGGTGCGGTGAGTTCTTCTCATTTCTTTGTCCGAAATTTCCCACCAAGATTTCTTCGGTCGACTCGCGCAACTACCCATCGCTCGTTGCTTAATTCTGATGGGAACAGAGACTGCATGAGCAAACAAGCAGTTGTAGAACTAGCACCTTCAAGCATGACTCCACCGGGAAAGGAAGACAGCATCAATAGCGCTGACGAACATGTTGCTTTTATCGGACTGATGCGTGGCCTGATCAAAGAGGCCAATGTGTGTCCTTTCTGCGTCTCCTATGGAGCCTCATCCTAGCATCCTCTGCCAGAGGCGGGAGATAGTCTTCTTGTTGTTGGTGCTGACCAGGTAGCAGATAGAAATCTTTGACTGGGTCTACGCCGCTGGCCCTCGTGTGATATTGCAGGCCAAAGCGAATGGCTGGTCTTACCATGATCAACCATATGTCAACGATCTCGTCTTCTTCATGGACTTCGTTGACGTCAACGATGCTGCTGTCGACGAGTTTACTGAATTCCACAAGCAGGAAAAGCACCAGGAGCGAGCCGGGCTGCCAAAATTGACTTTCATCCGTGAATACATCGATTCGGCATTTTTTAAGGGGTACATGGATGGAGAAATGAAGCGCGCGAAAAGCAACAACATGCCCTCCACATAGCTACAAATAGGACCCAACGATGGCTAGAACGGGCTGCCAAAGGGGCCAGAATGAAAGACTCTCCATGTTTGCTGGGTCAACTCAGCCACAAGTGTCGTGGATAATGTGACGTTCATTTTGAGCCCTCTTGTCCATCAAAGTTTGGACAGGTTCATGACTAGAGTCTGCGGGATGTAACTTCAAGTGATCGACGCTGCCACGGGAAGTCTGTTACCCACTCAACGCCGTTGTCATTAATATCCGGCCGTGTTTCTTCCCCGGTCGAAGAGTCGATCTAATCTAGAGTTTCGGGACTTTGCAGGTGCCAGGGCGCCGAGTGTCCGCCTCCCACCGGCCGACTACGATACGGAGAAGATCGATGTGTTTTCGGAGCTCGGTGCTTGCGGGGCCCGGATGCCCAGAAGCTCTAGATGCAACTCTTCAGGTGGCTGACGTACACGTGTAGCTGTCTGAGACTGGGAGGACAAAACTATTCTGATTGCCAAGATAAAACTCTTGGCACAGCCTTCAGTAAACAGAGAACGATGACTCGCCTCAGTCAATGATAGGTAGACGCGTGAAGCGGTGTGGGCTTGGGTGGTTGTGATGAAGCGGACACCCGTTTGTCCGAATGTCCGAACTTCCAAACGTACGCAAGCTTCCAAAAGAGACTTTTCTCGACTCGATTCTTCTATAATAGACGAAGTGTTCTTCAAAAAGTTGAACAACTCCTTTCGAGTTCCTCCGAGAAGTTTTCTCTTTGGTGCGTAGAAATCATCATTAGCCTAGAGTGCGCAACTCGTCTTTCCCCTCTACACTCTGTTCCGCCGTATGTAAACCCATCTTCGCTCATTTTAATAGCAAACATGCCTCTGGACTTGTCCCGATAGAGTATTTCCATCGTTTATTCACTTGAA